TTGTTACCCCAGGTATCCGGGTATTAAGACCTAAAGTTATGGGTTTTTCCCATCGGTATAATATAGATTTAATTGATTCGTATTCAAATTTAATTAAAGCACTAAGTACATATTGCTGCATATCATGGTGACAATGAAATGGCGAGAGTTACTTTTTTTTCCAAAAGTATTACTAGACCTTAATTATTAAGAAGTACAAAACATAAATACCTACCTAGGTTATAAAAATACATGATATAAATAATCGATAATGACAAATGTCTGGCAATTAAGAAAGACTCTAGGAAGTACACATGTTTAATTACGAAAACTGAAGATACTATTTAAATAATAACTATGACAACTTAGGTCTTAAGTGTTTAGATACTATTTCGTAAGTTTTTTAATTATCTCTGGTAGGCTACAAAAATGTTCCCAGTGAATAGATCATCATGATATTATATTGAAAAATACCTAGGTATCACTGTTGTGTCAAAATGCAATGATAAAATTGTGGATAAACTTACATTTATATAATATATACTATATAATTTTACACAATGTCAATACAACACTAATCAAACAAAATAAATCAAAAGATTTTAAACTAGCACATACTATTTCCGTAGAGGATACCTACTGCTCAAATCAATGATGTACTGTTAGCTGATATACATTTTCAAAAGCCATAATGCTGTGTGGAAACAATAATATAAATGCTTATAACAGAAATGAAATAAAATTAATACACATTAACTATTATAATATCTATACTTACTAATTTAAACTGTATATGATTCAGACACAATAGGTTTATTTAATGCCTGATTCGTGTTGATGAATACCAATCAGAAGTTTGATAAGAATTACCTCAAGTTGTTGGTTACAAATAGCAGTTGTTATGTATATTTACTTTGTATATATATCCATGTGTTGTTCAGGCCCAGGATGTAGACTAAAATATAAAATAACTTTTATAAAAATATAGTTAAAACTTAAAAGTTCAGATACTGTTGTTTATCATAACCTACCAATAATACATTATTGTAATATTGCAACACTACACAACTTCCGTATTTCAGATTGTAAGTCTTTAAAAGTGATTGTTGTAGGTAGTAATAACTCGAGGTTCAGTAACACATTGTTTTTTCAATGTTTTTCGTCTCCCTTATTATTGTCAATATTGCACCTAGAAATATTTAAACAGTAATGTAAAATAAAATCTACATAGCAAGTGGATAATGAAGGTTTATGAAGTTCATCCTGATAGTCACATCGGAACCAACTAATAACTGAGAAATAACATTTATTTTTTTCAAAAAATTGTAAGTATTATAGACATATGTCCTAAACATTTTTACTAAAACTAACAAAATTAGAGTGTTGGTCATTGACAAATGCTTTAAAATTTACAGAAATGTTTAACAATTTTTATAATAACATCTCAAGAGCCTCAGTTTCAAAGTTAGACATTTTTGTCTTGAAAAATTCAAATAAAAAAATCATTTAATCCAGGAGTTATTTCATGTTTTAAGCAACTTTTGTTAAAGTTCTTACATATGGACAAATGGTAATGAGAAGTAGATTGTTAATGCTAATTTTTTCATACAATTTGTGTAAATGTCCATGAGGGTTTCTCGTGTTGCTCATTGTTTAAGATTGTACTACTGGGTGAAAACCATAGACCTATAAAGAAATGGACTGATAACAGAGAGAGAGATCCAGGGGCCAACATTGTTAGAAAAAGATAGCATACAACTTGGGTACCATTTACACCAATTAATAAAAGAGAGAGGGAGAATAGTTCAACAACAAAGATAACAACATTTTTAGAAAAAGATAGCATACACCTTAGGTAGTCGGGTCACATTACATTACACATGTATTGACTATCTCTTTCTAACAATCTTATTTCAATAAACTTATGGCAGGGTGTGGGGGAGTAGCAGTCCATATCTTATTATGTCTATGGTGAAAACAAATGCTTTTCAAAATGAAATTGAGTTTCCATTCTCATTCTTCAATTGTAGGCGTATAAAATTTTTCTCGGTATTTCTTCTAACCAAACTGAAGTACCTAAATCATATTTATATAATTTTAGTAATCATACAGACAATTATATACAGGACTATTCTTTTATTATTGAACACTCATTATTTCAAAAAGTATTAATGGTTTTGAAAATATTTTTTTGTATAGTTTAAAGTTGTAACAAAGTTTTTATTAAAAAATCATGTTTTTAAATTTTTTTTAAGTTTTTTACTTTTTTGAATAACATGGAATTTTAATTTCATATTCCAAAGCAGATTTTTTTTTCTAAGTATTTTGATACATACAAATCGAATTTGGAACGAGTAGTTTATGAGTTATAAGTATTTAAATTTTAAAGTTTAGATAGTCGGTGAGGAGGGGTACGGGGTACCCCGTAAAATATTTATCCACTACTACGCTTGTCTAAACTTCAAATACTTATAACTCATAAGCTACTCATTCTAAATTTGATTTGTATGTTTCAAAATACTTAGAAAAAAAATCTGCTTTGGAATATGAAATTAAAATTCCATGTTATTCAAAAAAAGTAAAAAAACTTAAAAAAAATTTAAAAACATGATTTTTTAATAAAAACGTTTTTTTTGACAACTTGAAACTATGAAAAAATATATTTTCAAAAATATTAATACTTTTTCAAGATAAATTCAATGATAAAAAAAACGCTATAAATATAAAGTTGAATAAAATTGTTTGATTAAATCTTACAAGGACTTAAGAATCTGAATATCTAGATTTTTCACTAGGAAATTATGATGATGTTCCAGGAGAAAAAGTGTAGTCAATACTATCATGTAAATGTAGACAAACTTTAAAAATATTATATTAAATAATTATTATAAATGGATATCTATATAAAAAACCATGTGTGTTACCAGTACGCTCGCGGGAAGTTAAACTTCTTTTGAATGGTACACGTGAGTGAGTGAAAAAGAAAGAAAAAAATATTAATTAATTTAAAAAATGAGAAGAAGTATCAGGAATTATTTATTATTGATAGTTTTATTATTTTTTTTATATTTTTATTCGACAGATCGATGGATAATATTGTTTGTAGTATTGTTTTTATCCAGACAATAGATTTGTGAGTGAATAATAATAATAATAATAATAAATAATAATCGATTATTAATTATTCGTATTAATTAGTATGGCCCGATTATAATATATAATATATATATATATATATAATATATAATAAAACAACATTACCATGACAATATTTATTTATTTACGGACATGTACGCTTTCGCGTTCGTTCGCTGTTTTTTTTCCTCACTACCCTGCGTAAAGAAGTATAACTTCAAAAATATTAATAATCATAATATGAACCTACCAGGTGAACAAGTTAATGGAAGAGCTGAAATGTATACAGTATTATTAATATTCAGTTTAATGAATATTCAAAAAATGATACAAATTTGAGAAAATAACATAGAGAAATTTGCTTTATCAATAATCGTGATTTGTTAAATTTTGATAACAAATTATTAAATATAATCGCAGTAAGGGTCAGGGACGGTTACCAATTTAAATGTTGGACATACAATTGAGGTTATGTTTATAGATTTTATCACGGTCTTAAAACCATAGATAATAGCATAGACATATGAGACAGTGTCTCTAGACGTTCGTAATAAAAACGGTTTATATCACTACAACTATCATGGCTGAAAAATATCATATCAGTTTGGTTTGGAATAAACAACAAATTACATTACCACTGGCCGCTTAATTTAAAAATATTTAAATTTTTAATATTATATCACAGAATAAATCAAGAATCAGAATAAATTACTTTTTAAAAGTAATTTCTGGGTCATTTCAAAATTATGGGTTATTCCGTGTCACACAGCTGTTGTTTCCACAATTATGGGCTTAACAAAATTCTAATAAATGTGTTAACTAAAATATTATTGTCCTTACAAGGACTCAATATTTTCAAGTTAAAATATTTATTATTTTAAGTATGAAACACACTTAAGTACCCTAAATCTCTCTCCCTAAGCTTGTCACAATTATTAGGTTTCTAGCTTTTATTTTAATATCTCAGATACCATACAGTATTTAGTGAGTTATCAATCAATTATTTTAATCATAATACTCTTCTCTAGAATTCGTTTGTTAAATAAATAAAATTGTCACTAAGTAAGTATTTTTATCGTAAGTTTGTTTCAGTTACATAATTTTTTCTCTCTCCCTAAACATTTTTTTTAATTGCCGCAACATAATAGGAAAAAAGAAATTTTGTGTCAATGTAATGTGGCAACACTGCTTCAGCATGATATTATCACATGAGTTTTGTTTATGATATTAGGAAAAATTATCAGTTGTGCGCGCGTTCGTAAACCGTGCGATTCGTTCGCGCGTGATTTTATTCAATCTCATTCCCTAAGGCCTGTTAAATACTTGTGGTAAGTGTATTTTTATTATAAATAATTACATTTTATGTACATTGTTGATCAATGTATTGAACCATGAAAACTTTCTAGAAATAGTTCATAATCTTATCAACAATGACTGCTAACTGGCAAAACCTCTCTCCCTACAATCTCTCTCCCTAAAATAATTAAAAAAATTAATTTTGTAGGGAGAGAGAATACAAATTAGGGAGAGATGATATTTTACTTTTTATTATTGTATAAAGTAATTTATAGTGATTGATGGTTTCTATTTAATAGGTGGTCTCTCTCATGTACCAGATTAGATTATGGCACCAAAAAAAAACTGAGTAAGGAGGAGTTAAAAGCAAAAGCGAGAGAGTACAATAAAAATCGAAGACAGAAGATAAAGAATGATCCGGTTTTGAAAGCCATTGAGACAGAAAAAGAACGCAAAAAATATGAAACAAAAAAAAACAAAAAACAAGTGAAACTTGTAAAAGATATGAATGACAGAGAACTGAGGGCAAAAAGAAAAATATGGAAAGCTAAGGCAAAAAAAGCTTACCAAAAAAAAAACAGCAGATCGAAATGGACAACAGGACACAACATTCCCCTCCTGACAGTGATTCACAGACTTCTCCACAGATAGTGCTGTCACGTCAGCGATCCGGAAGAAAAAAAATCCGTAGAGACAGAGCTAAAGTAGTTAGTGATAATAAAATACTCAAAAAAAAGGTTTCTGCTCTAACACAGCAATTAAATAAATGGCGGCAAAGATGTTGGAGGATGTCCAATAAAACAAGTAATGAAAAGTCACCTGGAAAAGTAGTTTCAGAACTAATGAAACATGGGAACAAACAAGCAATTAGACGAAATTTGTTGTTTGGTGAAGCGATGAAATGTCAGTTAACACAGCAATTTAAACAGCTCACTTCACGGCGAAGAAAAAGAGAGTTTGGTGAACTGTTGGTGGGGAATAACAATTTTTTTAAAAAATATAAATTATTGTGTGATTTGCGTGGTACGACTTCAACAAAGGTATTCAACAGTACACATATGCTGACCAATAATAAGCAGTTTCGAACAAGATTAAATAAAATAAATGAGCTAGTCAAACAGGACATCCATGATTTTTTTGAGGATGATGAAGTTTCAATGGTGTGTCCAGGTAAAAAAGATTGTATAACAAAGTTTAAAATTAAGAAACAAAAAAGAGTTCTTACTAATACCTTGAAAAATCATCATGTAAAATTCTTGGGAAAAGTTAATTACAAAGTTGGCTATGTATCATTTTGTAAGTTAAAGCCATTTTGGGTTGTAAAACATAAAGTTTCTGAAAGGGACACATGCTTGTGCAAAGTTCATGCAAACATTGACTTTTTAGTTTCAGCTTTATTTAAAAAGAACATCAGTGACAATGCTAACATAAAAGAGTTCACTCGTCATGTATGTTGTAATATTGATAATGTAGCCTGTTTGCAAATAATGTGTGGTAATTGTAAGGATTTACAAATTCCTTATAATTTATTTGAGGCAGATACTACAGTCACCTTCTTCAAATGGCAAGTAAAAAGTGAAATTTTTACAGATAAAAATAAGAAAACTCGATCTGTAAAACACACTGTGAAAGACAAAATAACTGTTTCTGCAATGGACGCTGTTAACACCTTCAATGATGCGTTTATTAAGTTTTTATACCACGAAGAAAATGTAATTCATCAGTTCCGTGCCATGAAGATGCTGAAGACAAAACTGAATCCAAATGAGGTGTTGATTCACAGTGACTTCTCAGAAAATTATTCTATGAAATATTCTTCTGAAATACAGGCATTTCATTTTGGTGGTAGTCGCAAGCAATATACTCTTCACACGTCACAGATATACTTTAAAAAAGATGAGTACACCTCAGTAGTATCACAATCAATGTGTACTCTGTCTGAATGTTTAGACCATGGACCTGCTGCTGTTTGGGCACATCTTCAACCTATTTTTGAATTTTTAAAACTCACTGTTCCACAAATCACTATTGTACATTTTTTAACAGACAGTCCTACAACACAATACAGGAATAAAACCATATTTTATCTCATAGCCCATGCCCTTCAGCATTCAATTGAAGTTTCACTATGTACCTGGAATTATATGGAAGCTGGTCATGGAAAAGGTGCTCCAGATGGTGTTGGAGGTTGTCTAAAGAGAACAGCTGATCGAGTTGTTGCTCAAGGTGAAGACATAGATTGTTTTGAAAGCTTTGTTAAGGTCTTAAAAGAGAACGTCAGAAAAGTTCAAATAATTTTGGTTTATGAGCATGACATTCAATCAATGAAAGATATTTTACCTTCAGAAATCCCTTCTTTCAAAGGTACTTTCAAAGTACATGAAGTGGTATTTATAAAGGAGTTTCCTAATAAATTAGTTATGAGAAAACTCAGTTGTTTTGATTGTTATGATTGTGAAAAGTTTTCTTTAGGACATCATAATATTATTTTACCAACTAATGAGGAAGCAGGTTGCCTAGAAAATGTCCCAGTTGAAGTTGAATGTGATGTACATATACAATCAACATCTTCAACATCAGGACTACTGTTAAAAAATACTTTTTACGACCCAGGAACCCACCTTCTGGTGAAATTTGAAAAATATTCAGAGAAATCTTCAGATGCTCTAGGTTTTCGTTACGTTTGTTGTGTTGAAAAACAGAACAAAGATAAGTCTATCACTGTTAACAGACAAAACACTTGGCAACTCCTTTACAGAATTTATTGTAACAGACAATGATAACTGTGTAATTAGTACAGATCATGTTTTACAGGTGCTTCCGAATCCAAATTCCTTAGTCCGTGCTGAAAAATATCATATCAGTTTGGTTTGGAATAAACAACAAATTACATTACCACTGGCCGCTTAATTTAAAAATATTTAAATTTTTAATATTATATCACAGAATAAATCAAGAATCAGAATAAATTACTTTTTAAAAGTAATTACTAATTTCTATCGAATAATGCGTTACAGTTTCGAATTATTAGGTACCTACCTACCTATTGCGAATTGACAAAAAAATATATGTATAATGCCGGTATTATTATGTTTACCAATCTAATAACATATAATATATAATATATTTAATTTTTACTCAGCACAGTTCAGTTTTCAATGGATTTGACATTTGAAATGTCTAATTGCACCGTAAATCACGAGAACAGTTAATTAAATTTATTATTTATTTATTTCTTTTAAATAGGTTGTCTATGAATATAGCTTGTGTGGAAGACTACATTTTATATGATCCTATTAACTATATAGGTTTTATAAAGAATTTGCTTGTACAATTTGCCTGCAGAAGATAATTGCCTAGAAATTTAAAAAAAAAATTTATTTTTGTAACGAGAAAGTAATGAGTTACTTTCCTGTTGAAAAGTAAAGTAATTTCATTGCAATTTTATTTGAGTAACAATTAAAGTACCTAATTACATTTATCTCTTTAGTAACGAGTAAAGTAACTTGATTACTTTTTAAAAGTAACTTACCCAACTCTGATCATTAGATAGGTACAAATAAAATTTCACAACTGACTACCAATGGTAAATGTATAATATAATGACAGGAAAAGTTATTACAATAAATGACTAGTACTAGCAAAATTCAACGATTAGAATTTTGTTATATTAAACACATCAGTGTAGTAACTCAGGTGTATACTCTTACTCTATCTTAATACCTTAATATTTTCATAATTTGGTGGTTGTTACATAATTCATTTATACCATCATTAGGATTTTAGATATGCATTATATTATATATTAATATTATGGAGCTAATTATTATTTGATCGTTTGATTATTTATCTAATAATGTCAAATATTAGATTAAAAATATTAAAGGTACCATGAAATATCGATGTAATTATGTACTATTTTAAATTTTGAACATCGTTAACATTATATGTACGCATATCTTTAAATTACAAGACATCTACAAATTAGTAACTCTAATTAATAAACTATAATGATGATCAGGAAATGAAAACACACCGAATAATTTTTTTTTTTATATTTTATATTTTTATATTTTTTATTTTTTTTACTGCTGCTGTAGCTGCTGCTGCTGAGCAGCCAGGGCAGCCTCCTATCTTAATTTCTTCGCGAGAGAGATGGCCACTTCTGCAGCCTTCTCTGCCCTGGCTGCTCTACTTGCAGCCTCAGCGGCAGCATCCGCGCACTGTGTGGCGGTATACCCCCGTTTGAAACAAACTATGCATTCTAGAAAATCAAAGGAATCAAAATTAAAACACATCCATGATAAGTAAATAACCAATTAGTTGGTATCATATGATAATATATACTTACTATTTATGTTGGGGGCTTTACCGCCACCACCATAGTTATATACATATGTGGACATCTAAACATAAGTTAAATTATAGGCATAAAGTTTATATAATAAATGAGACAAAATATTTCAATATTTATACACTATACTAAAATTAGTTAGTTATTTATATCAAATTAATGTTGTTATTTTGGAATATAAATATTACGATGAATGATTTCAATTTTAAAAATAAAAATAATAAATTTAACAATATTTACAACATGATCAATATTTGAATATTAGTTGTATATTCAACCACAATAGGTACGCTGAAAGTTAAATACTTAGTTATCCTATTTACCAATTAATGTAATAAATTTGAATTTATACTAACCAAGGAAAATTAACTGTTATTTTTAAATTGTACAGAATTAAGAGGATGTAACACTGACATTTGTAATCTCCGTCTTACAAGTGCATAACATAGCACATTTACGCTCAGCAGAACACGTGTAGCTTCGTCAGTTTAAAAATTAGAGTGAACTGACTATTATGAAACTTAATGGTAAGAACATTATCGGTGTTTGTATGTTGGTTTTTTACGATAGTTCAATTTTTAAGTGAGTTATGAGCATTTTTAATTTATGGTATATTGTATACGTATAACTCACTTAAAAATTGAACTATCGTAAAAAACCAACATACAAACACAGATAATGTTCTTACCATTAAGTTTCATAATAGGTCAATTCACTCTAATTTTTAAACTGATGAAGCTACACGTGTTTTGCTGAGCGTAAATGTGCTATGTTATGCACTTGTAAGACGGAGACAACAAATACCAGTGTTACGACCTCTTAATCAGTGACGTGGCGTGGGTATTAAAAAGATGTAAGCAGTGAAATTTTTTTTCAAAAGTGATTAGAATATAACACTATACCTGAATACCTAATTATAAATTATGTATAAAAAAATGTAATAAAGAGAAAATAAAGAAATTGAAGTATAAATACTTCAAAATTCTATTAGGCGAATGACAGCGACAGTGTACGTAAAATCGTCTACAGTCTACAACGCGGGCTACGTACGGGTCGCTCCTTGTTTCTCGAGTAAGCAAAATCAAATGAGTTTACAAACCACTACCAGCTATAACTTAAATATTTTATAAATAAAATTAAAATTTTAAAAATCATTTATTATGTACCTATTAGTCGTGATTGATTAAATTTATTTTTTCTTTCATTTAAAGTGTAAGCAGTGCTTACAGTGCTTACATGCACGTACTCCCCTGCTCTTAATACTACATATTTGTTTACAGAATTAAATCAATAATAATAAATCAAATTGTGTTTCGTAATAATATTATTGATGTAAAAATTAAATTATTAGCAATACAATGTGTCATAACAATACTTGTTAATCAAACCAACCAATGTTAAACGATTTCAAAAACCAAAATGAATAATGATTTAATTAAATTGTGTAAAGTAATTTGATGTAATACAGATTTAAAATACAACACGTCCTATACATTGAAGAAATCTCGAAGCAACAAAAAATATTATTGAATGCTAAAGAAATATTTTATTTTTTAAAAAATGTATTTCGTCAAATTGTATTCTTTTAAATATTAAAACGTATTAAAAAATTGAATAGGTACAATCATTATATTTATTTAAAATTTAATCGGTGTATAAAGATTCGTAAAATATTAATATTATATCATATTATACTAGAGTATTAATAAAATAGTTTTAATACTATTCAACATTTTACTTACGACTTTTGAGTGTTCAGATAAACTCAGTCCAGGACCAGAGCTGTTGAGTCGTTCAGACCAAATTGCAGAATGAATGTTGTCCAGGCAAGGCTCACCTCAACGCCTACGCGGCTATATAATATTTATTAATAGCGGCCATCGATCGCATTTAATTTTGACAAATTCCCCATACATGTATTGACCATTTTGTGGTTTATCTAGCTATTTTTGAATTATTTCCCCCGATTTTCGGCCTTCGATCATCGCTTATTATATATTATATTATCATATAATATAATATAATATTAATTATATTTTTTAATTGAATTATTCTTTCTAGCAAGGCACGGTCCCGAGTCCTGACGATCTATTATTATAATTGTTATTATTATTCAAATAGAATCCATTTTAAATAAATAAATTATGTTCCCTATACAATACTAAATGTATTATTTGTTATACTGTTATAGTTATTACAATGAATACCTACTTGCAGTCTGCAGTATTCATTTTGTGGTAGGCCTATATTCTTATTATTAAGCCGAATTCCTACGACTGGTGTACTTGGCCAATCTTTCTTGATAATTGTCCACTCTTCCGAGTTTTGAGGAATCTTAGAAATTATATATACAATGATAATGTGCTTATTTATCATCTCAGTGGGTTTCCTATAGGCTATAACCTACTAAAATAAAAATAGTTAAAAAATGTAAGGTTTTAAAATAAGATTTAAAAATATTATAACAGACATTTTTTTAAAAGAAAAATGTTATTTAACAGAATCAGAATTCGTAACACGTCGATGGACAGTTTCGTGGCCGCAGTGGAAAAAAGACGAACTTTAAAACGTCAATTGTCATTACTGCTATAGCCAGGGCCGGATCATAGCTTTTTAACACCAGCGGAAAATTAAAAAAATACGCCCATCTCAGGGAGATGACCAGAATTAGTATTTTTTTTTTTAAATCAAGCACCCTCACACAGTATTGCGAGGAACTGAGGACCAACATTTACAAAACCTTTCCAAATATACTGTAGGACCAATCATTTATTTACTACAAATAATTTGAACGATTTTAACTTAAAAATGAAACATTTTAAATTTTAAAATAATCACGTAATATAGTTTTAGAAGCACTTCTTAATGGTGTATTTAAAGCTAAAATCTGTGGTCAATATTTCTAAGTTTCAGGTTTAGAATAAATAATATTGATAATAATAACATGTATGAATTATTTATTAACAAATATAAATTAGGTATCCATTGCTTGATTTTAATATAAAACGCTTTATGTAAAAGAACAATATTCAATTTACAACATACCTAACAATATTATACATTTTCATTTTTAATATTTGTTACAATCAAAACTTAATAATATATACCTAGGTACGGAAAAAACACAATGAAACAAAAATGTTATTATGTACTGAAAATTGTAATATAATGATTATAACACGACAAAAAAATATTTATCATGGATTATCACTTACGGATTGAATGTACCTATATACTAAAACAACTACATTCTACATTCTACATTTTAAAAATGTCCAGAATGATAATAACCCGGTTGTCTATTCATCTCGAACTATACAAATAAATTAGACGAAAAAAACACTTTATAATAAAAAAAAAAACGAACCAAATAGAATATAAATTTCCTTTTAAATTATTTTAATATAATATGTCAAACATAATATT